GGGGTCAATTACAGCGAATTATAGGCGATTTCCAGGTTGAGAACCATAGATATGGGGTACATAGAAGCGGAACCAATAAATTGGCAAAAAGATTTTATTAATCCGCATACAGGAAAAAGTGGCTAAAACAACACCTGGACATGGATGGCTGGTGCCTCTATAAATAAATCTTTGATGGTCTGGGGGTTTTTTTAATGGCACTCTCCTCGTTTTCTACTGATCTTTCCCAAATTTTCCAGTCTAAACCACCTACTCCCTCAACCCCCCAACATCTACCCCAACATCTACCCCCCTAACTCCCCACTATCTACCCCCTCTCACCCCCCAACTATCTACCCCCCTAACTCCCCATCATCTACCCCTTTACCCTCACTCTATCTACCCTTCTACCCCTCTAAACTCCTATCATATACCCCCCCCCTACATCTCAGAATAATAACAAGTACAAGATCTTCTATAGATTTGAAATTTCATGTCCCAGCACAGTAAGAAACCCTAATGAATCTATTCAGTTTCATATATATACTAATTAATAATAAGCACAATGTGTTACCCTCACACAGATAACAGTGCTGAAACCTTTAAACTATAATTTGTACATACCCACAGCATCGGCACCAAACATTCGAAGCACACGAACTTCAGCAGTTGAAGAAAAAGTTGGACCACCGATCATGATGTAGACTCCTTCCTTAATTATATCAGCATGGCCCATTTCAGCGACAACTTCCATAAACTTTTGTCTCAAGTCCTTGTCATATGTGCCGTTTGTCGCAAGAAAGCGAGGTCCAAACCTGGAATAATATAATCAATGATCCATGATTTGAACATCGCTTACACTGTTATCTGTAACCAGATCAGACATTTGGTTCTTTAAAAAATATTGGAGCAAACAGATTAAAAAACATTATTTTGATAATGACAACTTTTACAACTTATAATCTACAATGCACACCCCCCCCCCCAAAAAAAAAACAACAACAACAACCAAACAACAATAAAAACAATCCAACAACAGCAATAAATAAGTGTGTTAGACTTGTGTAAAACAATTTGTGTCAACCAAACTTTGGCACATCATTATCATAAACCATCCAAGAGGTATCAAGTTCTAGATCTAATTATTGTTTTTTACTTTCTAGGATCTATCAAAGTCGAGTCGAAAGCAGATGATAGAACATGTCTAGGGAAGAGGAAAGGAGAAAATTTTTAAGGAAAAAATATTTTCTGTCACTGTCAGGTTTCAAACCCAGGATCTATTGAATGAGAGGTGAAAACCGTACTTCTAGACCACGAGAGCCCTTTTAATATACATGTAAAGGAGATCAAATTTCAAATATAGTTACGAGTTTAAAACTAACCCTTACCTTTCATCATTCTTCCCAATAAGCACGCACTCGCCAGTCAGGCCAGGGAGATCAATATGATCTTTTATCACCATCAGGTCCCCGGTCTTGTAATCTGGGTTCAGACCTCCTGCTGCGTTTGTCACCAATAGGGTCTCAATTCCCACTGCTTTCATCACTCGCACTGGCATAGCAACCTAGAGTAGAACAATAACGGCTACTGAGTGTGGCAGTACTGCAGTGCAATTAGCTACAGAAGTTTTTTAATAAGCCGGCTATTCAATTACATCATATGATCCTATCAACAAAGCCAGGTCTTGTAAACGCCATGGTTTTTCTTTCAGGATTTGATGTTATTGGCTGAAACCAAAAATAAAAGAACAAAAATTCGGTCATCTTTTTAAAAATTAATGGCCAACATAATTAAACTTTGACAATTCAACCAATAGTCTAGAGGGATATGAATGCATATATTTTAAAATTATATACAGGTTATATACTTTTATTTTTCTGGGGTCTGAGCTTCATTCCCTTGGCAATCTCTCTGAAAAAAATAATTATTCTCCTTTAGTCACTAATATCATGTCCAATAAAACCTTCATGCTTCAAAGTGTAAAATATTTTGTTTGCATTTCTTTAAATTAGACTGTGTTTGTGCATGTGTGTGTACGTGAGTGTGTGTATGTGTGTGTGTGTGTGTGTGTGTGAGAGAGTGTGTATGTGTGTGTGTGTGTGTGTGTGTGTGTGTGAGAGAGAGAGAGAGAGAGAGAGAGAGAGAGAGAGAGAGAGAGAGAGAGAGAGAGAGAGAGAGAGAGAGAGAAAGAGAGAGAGAGAGAGAGAGAGAGAGAGAGAGAGAGAGAGAGAGAGAGAGAGAGAGAGAGAGAGAGAGAGAGAGAGAGAGAGAGAGCGGGGGGGGGGGGGGGGGGTTGTTAGCTATTTTTAAGACTTTTATGTTGAATTGTGCAAAAGGACTACAAAATTATGGACAAAAGTTCTCCCCCATTGCATGTTACTTGCTATGATAAGGGGCCAATCTTCCTTGCGTTAAAGGCACTGGGAAAATAACACCCAATAAAGAGACATGTATTAATTAATAACCAGCATCACTCCTAGTTTGTTTGGTTTTAAGTCTTGTTTGATTCCTTCTGACACCTACGTCTGGCTAGTGCTCAGAGAGAAGTACGGGACCGAAACATTGTGCACACTTGGTGCGAATCCGAGTCCGTTCTTAAAAGTTTTCTCATTTTATTTTAAAATACACCTTGTTATTGCCATCTGACAAATTGACATACTGACATTTGGCAAGGTGACCCCTTTCCTCGTTAAAGTGAACTCAAAACCTCCAAATGTGATTGTAAAGTAGAATGAAAAATTTCTTTATAGCGTTAATGGAGTGTGCCAAAGTGAACATGTGTGCTCTGTCAACCTAAGATAACATTTGTTCAGTTTGAAATAGAGAACACTAGACTGTACTAGACTGTGTAGGCAAAATAAACAATCCTGCCCACCTTCCACATTGGATAACCTTCATAATAATGCAGACGACCTCTCATCAGCAACACAGCTTTGCCTTGCAAAGTTCCAAAGACAAAGTGTCCTGAATGGCCTTTCACTGAAAACAGAAATAATAAACTTAATACACAGGCCGAGTACTTTCGGTTCCTACCTAGACACCAGCTTCTTGCTTCGCATGCTTCATAGAAATAGAGGCAAACAAAGCAGTGTTGCCCTGGCCAGCAAAAAGGGCTCACAATGAAGAGTAAACCCAAAGCCATAATACATTTTATCTAAATTTCCAAGACGGCCACCCACTGTCCAGGAGAAAAGTGGTTGGTCGTCTGAGACAGGCAGATGTCTTGCACGGCGTCATTATAATGTCAAAAAAATTCAGGGGGTGGGATGGGACGGGGAGTGGGAAGTGGCTATTTGTATCACTGACGGTCTAAGACAGGTGACGACTATAGAAGGTTTGACTGTATTTCATAATTTAACACGGATTTTCATATCTTTCCACAGATCTAACTTGTTGCCGTAGTTGCTAGACATCTTCTTTTTTTTTTTATTGAAATGTATTTAAGCCCCCATCAACAAGTTTTAGATCATTTAGGACCCCGGCTTCAGACCCTGTCTATCAGGGACAACTTGGGCTGAGAGGGATACAACATACCCGTAGAAAAACTGAGATATTCAATAGAATTTCTCCCTACTTGGGAATAGAAATCAAGTCTCAGGCGCACAACAGCAAAGTGCCTTACTGCTTCACCACAGACGCCGTTCATCTTCCTTTGGGTCACCTTCTGAGAGGACATTTGGGTATGGCAAACGTGCTCACTCAAAAACATTATGAGTGTCTTCAGCGCAAAAGATATGATAACGTCAGTCAGCTGTTCAGTAGATGCACATGTACTAAGCCCCACTTTTTTTCTTTTTTCAAATAGCAGTTCGTTAATCTATGATATAAGCTGCACATGTTCAAGAAATATTTTATCAAAACTAAAACTCTAAATGTTGAAAAAAGCAAGAAAAAATACATAATGTCAGTACAATTGTTAAAAGAATGAAACAAATTTTTTCGCTCTCCCTGAAAATTTTGCTTTTTTGGGCTTGGAACATTTGAACAGACAGTCAACAATTAAGTATACCATGGGCGGCCGTCATGACCATTGGAAACGTAGTAAAACCCAATTACGCACCCAATTTACTTTCAATTTGGATGAAATGGGTGCTCCATTAGCTCAGTTGGTATAATGCTGGACTATGGAGCGGACAACCCTGGTTCAGATCTTGAATTCAAGTTGTTTTGTGAAATTTGCAAGGCTCTGAACGCACCTGGTTCTGTCTTTTCGGAGCTGGACAATAAATGTGGGACCCCCCCCCCTCTTAAATCAGCTATTGTGTTGAAAGTGACATTTGACCTTTATTCTTACAATCTTTCTGTCGGATGAAATGACATCTACAATGCCGTCTTACTCATGAATGTTATGGTCTTATTATTAGGGTTGTTAATTCCATTTAATTAGCTAAATGTATTCCTGATCACCATATAAAATGTAATAGCAAACTACATGGACTACTATGAGTTATTCATAAATTAGTAATTGTTAATGTTCTCTGCCCCCATCAGCACACTACTCTAAGAACACAACTGAGAATTTCATGACAGCAGTAAATGAACAATACCCCATCAACCAAGTCAGGCAGACCAGACAAGCAGACCAGACAAGCGTATGCGTGTGGGGAATAAATCAGTTGCTGATTAACTGGGAGTGGCCTGTGGCCCACAATGTGAGGTTGTAATGGCTATTATAAAATAAATGAAGAGGATTCAAAATAGAGAGTCTTTCTAGGTAAGGCCCTCTTTGTGTATTTTGCTGTGGGGGTAATACTAGCTCAAAAGTCAGAAAGGAAAAAAGTTATCACTACAAAGATAAGGGTGATCTTTTATCATTCTTTCCAATATCCTGCCAATCTATATCACAGCTACACATATGTTTGGCGAGCAATTTAAATTCATTGTCTCAACAAATTTCCTGAAATTGTAGTGGGCAATAAATGCTCTAAAGAACAAAGGCAGAAAACAGCAAAACAAGCTTCTTACCATCAGCTATTAATCTCAGCTATTAATCTATGACAAGGAAAAACTAAATTAAATAAATAAAACTCCCCATTCTGCTAACACAAAGCTTCCCCACAGCCACTTAATGGATGTGAAATCATGGATATAGAACAAAACAGCAGATAAGGCAATAAACTTATTTGAGCTAAAGAGTTACTTAAGATGCCATTGACTCATTGGAAGATAAATGTCTCAATTGTGGAAAAAACTAGCTAAAAAAAAAAAGAAACCTGTTTCCTGCACACGATCAGATCAAAGAACTTCAAACAATTTGGTTACAAAAAGAGACACACTAGTTTGGTAAATGACCTGTTGAATGCAAAGTACCATGAAAACATGACAGACGACACCCAATAAGATAAAAACAGGTCTGGCATCTCTGAACAGTAATAAATAAGACTACGTCACCAAAGCCAGACACATAGCGCCAGAAATGACCACTTTCAGATGGGCTGTTGGGGAGTCATCAAACAATGTGCCTCACGGATGAAGATTAAACATATCAAAATGTCCCTTTTCTGCTTTATCCCAATTCCAGAGTTTTAAAAAGATAATAATAATAAAAGACTTTTGAACTAAAAAGCAACTGTCAAGCATATTATGACAAGCTATCTAATTGTCTTAAGTCTACAAAACCTTCAAGTTTGACGCCAATACTGATTACAACTATATTTAGTAACTAATTGTCAAGCAAGGCAACAAAATGAACAATCAAAGCATACAGAAAAATAAAGGAAAGTAAGCATTAAAAAAATTGTATTTGTCCCGTGACACAATATCCCTATCAGGCCATTCTCTTTTGAAGCTGAGTTGCATAAACAAGATTCTTTTGGCAAAGAACAACACCCTCCATCTGAGCGTCACAGGGCCCACAATAAAGTACAACATACAAGGATGTACATGGGTGGCTCTGTATACGGCAGTTTATCAACCACTTTTCCAATCAAAACACATGAGTTTTACATTTTCTTGCAGCAAATTCTCACTGTGAAGGGTACACTTGATACGATAATGATTGAATACATTTCATAGTCACATCAGCACGAATTAGACAATTTACACAGAAGGCTGCTTTAACCCCAGATGTCTGGGACAACCCAAGGTGTAATGAACACTACATCCCAGCAGAAAAATGGCGACACAATAAAACATCTGCCCCATGCAGGAATCAAACATGTGCCTTTTGAAGAGAAGGAACAAAGCCTTATCATTACACTACATACACTTGTGAGAGTTCAGCAGGGAAGTTTTAATTCCAAACGAACAAAAGAAACACAATCTGTATGCATTTTTAACTTTTATTTACATTGAATTCATCATAGATATAAGAAGTTTTTTGTAACAGTGAAGTAGAATAATAGGGACAGAAATTGGGGTCTGGGGACGTCTTGAAGAATAGAGTAAAACTATCATGGCAGGATAATTATTACGTAGGAAAAAATCACAGATCATGACCAACTTCTTCATTATCACTCTCATTTTCAAACAGTTGTTAGAACCCACCTGTGCTGTCCTCCTAATCAACAGATTTACTTAAGTTGGTTTCAGGCACGCAAAACATGTACAATCAATCACAAGCTGTACCACCCCTGAAATATAGCAGGGGGATGCAAAGAAGAAGAATCACCAAATTACATGTATGCAGACGAGAGACGATCATGTAAGTCGGCACCATATATTTTTTCGAATATACAAAAATTAAGCTCCAAAATGGAGTAACACTTAGAACATGAAAAAAAAACTAAACGTCTATACATTTAAATAAGGTGAAAATTAAGAAAAAGAATACAGATGATTTTTGCTACACAAGACCAAATGAACACCAATTGATATTGATCACATCTATACACCAATTGATATTGATCACATCTATACATCTACCCGTCTTGGAGATGAGAAAAAAAATGTCCTCGACAAAGGCACGTTGGGAGCAAACATTTAAAACAAAGAATCGTCACATCAATTACAGTATGCATTAATAATGTATTTTGAAATCTGCAGAACTGAAAAAATGCCATTTGTCTATGTGTAAAAAAAACTTCTCTGGAGACTGAAGTTTCTTCATTGGTTCTGTAACGTTTAGTCTTACTTTTTTCAAACAAACTTTCTGACAATTTAAAAGTTAAACTGCGACTAGTTTTTTAAAATAAATTAGAATTCTTTAATGGTTGTGCTGCAAAAGCATTTTGTCAGCTGACGGCAGAGAAGTCGAGATATTTGTGATTGAAGGAGATGGGGATCGCCTGATGTCAGAGGTAAAATTAGAGAGAAAATGGCTGCCAAGGTTTGGAGACTTCTTAAGTATGAGTGTCCTTAGAAATTGCAAAATTTACATTTTTTGTGTGCATTTCATCAACCATTTCGGTATAAAATCTCCACAGAATTGTGTTCTTAAATTGACATAAAAGGTGCTGAAACCCAAAAATTAGATAAAATTGCCCAACATGCAGGAAAGTGTCAGTATTTCTTCGATTCCATTATTTTGACGAGCGCCTGATTTCGCCACAATGACACACACATAGGACAAGTGAAGTAACCACCCAGCATTTCACTACTACTGACACTTACCGGTGCTAACTGGAAATCCAGGGATGGAGTCATAACTTACAACAGTCTGATTCTCCACAGCCTCAGCTATACCATCCAGCCCTGTTCCACAAATGATCCCAATTTTGGGACGAAGAGTTGAATGTTTCAGTACCTCACTGGCCATTGCTTGGATATCTTCAAATGTGTACCTGGAGTGGAAAAAATAAAGAACGGCACTTCTTACCTTTCAGTCATTTGAATATTCAATTCTTTAAATAAGTAAACCCCCCCTCCCCCCATCATTCAGTTATTGCTTTTTAAAATTTGGGAACTAGTAAAAAGTGAAGGTGACAAAGCTTTAAGTTTCCTCACTCTTTTTACACTTACAATATTAAACAGGAGATACTTGAACAAGTAAATGAGTAAAACGGCACCTGAGTAATACAGAAATTAATATTTTTAAAAAGAATAAAAAACTATAGCAGGTAGAATGATTTTTTTTTTTATCACAATATAACTAAAGCTGTTCTGGATTGTTATTGATTAATACAGCTTATTTCAAGTATGGATATAAAATGGAGGCTGGAAAATATTTTGAGAATACTTAAATTCATAGACATTTAACAAGATTTGCCTTGAGTCGAACAGCTGCAATTACTAAGCCAAAAATAAGAAGAAACACAAATCACACATACCCGATGACTGAGAGGTCTGAGTTGATAGCTGCCATTTTGCTGATCAGACAGTATGTCACTGCTCAGGTTGTTTCCTCTTGCACTGCAAATAAGAAACAAAGATATCAAGACATATACGATCTCTACTAAGGCAATAGTTAAGACTAACAAGATAAAAAAGAACTGGTTGATACAAAGCAACATTATGGTAATACCTTCAAAGAAGTTGAACACTGCAGAACTTGGGATTTTTTAAACATACAATATAACACAGATAAATCGAATTCGTCAGGACCAGCCTCGGTAGTTCGAGGGATCCATAGTTTGAAGGATATCTTACAAAGATAAAGAAGAAAAAGAAACAGGACTGCTGCAGGCACAGTTCGACGGATGCGTAATTTTGAGTCTTCTTCTGTGTTCCACCTATCCGTGTTATACTGTATTCAACTCTTTTTCATTTCTTCTGAGATACTCACTTTTACCATACACTGAATCCAATTTGTTTATAGAAAAATCACAACCATGAGCCTATGTATGGTTTATTTTCTACTCAGATTGCCGCCCCCTTTATGTTTTCACTGTTGTACTTTTCCCCCACTGGTGAAGCAAAAACATAAAATATACTAACTGATCTTCAAATTGATAGACCCATATCTTCCATATCATATGTTGTGTATGTAAGCCATACAAACATGACACATTATTCTTTGAAGAAAACGAACCAATAAAAGTAAAAAATGTGCAGTACACAATTTGGCCATGACAGGTTCCCTTTCATGTCCGAGATAACTTCCTCAACATTCAAGACTAGAATCCCAAATAAGAACTCTTATTTAACAAACATTTTTAAAGATGAAGTCTGTGAAGTTAATGCTTCAACTGAGGTTAACAGATGAACATCTGACAGCTATTCTCTTGTTTGGTTGCAATCACATCGCAAAAATTGATGATATCTGGAATGTTAAACACCACTTTCGCTATAATTTTTAAAAAATATATTTATGGTGCTCAGTTTTTGTTTAAGTAAAAGTTTTATTACAATTGCAGCACAGTAACATATTTAACTCTTTGAACCCCATCGGCTGCTGGGAGCGTCCAGAGGTAATAACCCTGCTCCCCATTGGACGCCGGGAGCCTCTAGTACTAGAGACAACTGTTTCGTTTTATTCAGTGCTAGTGCTAGTTTTTGCTCGTTTTTCGGAACTATTCCTGAACCAATTTTGTTTATCAATGACTAAGCCTTTGTTTCCACTATTTAGAAGTTGGAGGCAAGCTTTTAAGGTTATAATGAGACATAGTGCACTAGGTGTAGGTGACTGTAGAAAAAAACTCTGGGAAACTGTAGAAAAAATTCAGGGCTTAAAGAGTTAAATGCCTAGGATTAGAGATGTTACGAGAGAGTAACAAACACAAAAAAGGAGAAAGATAAAAGGATGATAAATATTTGATAGGGAAAGATGGAGAAAACCACACCACAGTATTCACCAACCATCCAATTGGCTTATATTGTGAGATTCAACATATTATGCACATTAAGAGTGAAATGTTATAATTCAGCTTTAAAATTATTCAATCTGACAACTTTCAGGTAAATGACAGTTGAAACTTTCTAAGACGACCACTAAATGTCATGGAGAACAGCTGGATGTCTCAGTAGACAGATAGACGTGGTCTTACATGTTGCCATTATAACGTACAAAAATGCAAGGGGAGGGGAATTGGAAGAGGCCGTTTCTACAGCTGATTGTCTTAAACATATGACCTTATGCAGTTGCGAGCCCCGTAAAACCTCTACTAAAACAAACAAAACAGGTGGCCATTAGAGCAGGTTCAACAGTATGTTTGCAAGCACTGTGTGTACTGATCTAAATCAATAGTAGGTTCATTATTTGTTAAATGTATTCAGCGTACTGAACTGAAAAAACAGTAGTTATAATCAAGAACACATTCAGGATTCTCTCCTTAGTTGTCAAACCCGCTTTGTTGAAAAAGTTTGTTGACCCCTGTTGTAGAGCCAGGATTTGCACTATATAAATATATACACAGTCGAACCTGTGTAAAAGGGCAAAACATTGCCAAGGAGAAAAGTGGCCATAGATAGGTGGTGGGCGTCTTGGGCAGTACAGATCAAAATGAAGAAAGCAAACCATTTTTCCCATCTGAGGTCTAAACCACGAGTGATCTCAGACTTAAAACTGAAGACCAAGTGCCATGATAAAACAAACACATTGGTCGCCACCACTCGGAGAACGAACAACACTGCCGTCGCAAGTTCATGTGAAGTTAATGTCCATTGTTACGGGCTGGGAAAAACAGTGTTATCACTCCATGTCTTCCCGATTTTCTGTACATCCATTTCCGTGACTCTTTTCCAAGTTCCATGTCACCTTCCCCTTCATCTTTTACCCTGTGGGTTCCAATCTAACCACTTTCCTAGTTATGCAGCTGCTTGACTTCCTGAGAGTGTGTCCAATCCATCGCAAAACGCCTTCTTCCCACCTCATCTCTAACTGGGCTTTGTCTCGTTCTTTTTCATACTTCCTCGTTGGTGACCCTGTCTGTCCATCTGATCCTCAGTGCCTCAGTAACTTTATTATAGAGAAATATATCAATATTTCAATGGTAGCGTCAATTGCCACCGGGGGTCAGGAAAAGACACACACACACACACACACACACAAAGAGGGACAGAGAGGCGAACGCACAACACCGTGCACTCGAGCACAATAAGCTAGATATCTACCCACCAACGCAAAAGAGCTCCAATTTACTCGGTGGCAATTGACAAAAGGTCAATTTTTGTCAATTGCCACCGTGTCACCCATCACTCGGTGGCAATTGAAACTACCTATTTCTTAAGTACGGCTAGACTGCCAGTCTAGCTGTACTTAGATCTAGGTTTGGCCCTATCGACTCAAGCCTGTTAAGTACACAGGTCTCATTAGATCTAGAGTCTAGATCTAGTAATTATTCAGGTTTAAATACATGCAAGTCAGTAAGGCACCTTTTGGTTGTCTGAAATACAAATACTTTAGGCATTGCAAACTAAAAAATTTCATTTACAATTCAGCCATCAACATTAAGTACGGCTAGCCTGACATTCTAGCCGTCCTTAAGTATGGCTAGCCTGGCTGTCTACCCATACTTAAGTACGGCTAGACTGCCAGTCTAGCCGTACTTATCTTAGGCCCTATTAACATTAGAAAACAGGAGGTTTAAAATACATGCACTGTCATTAAGGCACCTGGTTTCGTCTCAAATACAAATACTTTAGGTACTGCACACTAAAAATGTATATCGTCTGCAGAGAATTCTAACCGTCTAACTCCGAAATTTTCTCGAATTGCTTTTTTCCTTAAAATAGATTGACATAACGAATGGCTACGTCCTATTAAAATCTAGAACAATTTTGACAAACAAAAGTCTTGTTTTAAAGAGAAATTCTAACCGTATATTCCGACTGACTTCCGTGACTGAAGAATTCTAACCGTCAAATTCGTTTAGGTAGTCCGCCATTGTGGATCACGGCGATAACGTTACGCTCTGAAGGAGGCGTTTGATTATAAATAAAATTCTTTTTTCCTTAAAATAGATCGACATGACAAGTCTTGTTTTAAAGAGAAATTCTAACCGTATATTCCGACTGGCTTTGGTGACTGAAGAATTCTAACCGTCTAATTCGTTTAGGTAGCCCGCCATTGTGGATCACGGCGATAACGTTTTGGTCTGATGGAGGCGTTTGATTTTAAATAATATAAAATCAGAAAAGGCTGCTTTTGTTAAAGGGTTGGTTGACTGTGTCGAGCCTGTGGAGAAAAAGGAGAGAGAAAGCAGAAGATTGTGGTCCATGAAGTACCATCTACGAGTGAATGGGGCCAGAGTAAAAGTGTGCACGGCTTTCTTCTTAAGTCCTGTACTTTGTTACTAGTATGTTCACATTGTTCTCACATGTGGGTTGGGTGTAGCAGAGGGTGAGGTTCCAGTTCAGAGAAAAGGGGTTAGGGAGGAGACTACAGCATCAAAGATACTTAAACAGTTTCTTCGTGATCTGCCCAAGTTGCCGTCTCACTATTGCCGAAGGACTCCAGTAAGTTATACTTGGAACCTGTTTTCCAGAGCTTACAGGCAGTGTACCGCCGTTTGTATATAAAGAAAAGTATGAGTGGGGGGGTACTTTCTACTTTCAAGTTTAAAGAGGAGATCAATGGTATGAACCTGTCATTGTTCCATCCTCCAAAAGATAGGTGTGATCTTTGTGTGGACTTTGAGGAGGGGAATGTGGAAGAGGGGGCATACAAAAAAGACAGCAGACAAGGAAAAATGCATGGGCAGCCCCAAAATCAAATACATGTACATCAAAATGGACCAGCAATCAGTTCTGCTATATCCATGCACCAATGCCTCTGCTTGGTACTACAAGACGAAATTAAATGTACACAATTTCACAGTATAGGAACTAGAAAGCAAGGACTGTGTATGTTATGTCTCAAATGAATGCGAAGGTGCTCTGACTGCAAATAAATTTGCTCCTCGTGTGGCTGATTTTTTGTCATCTGATTTGACTCCAGATCATTATATTCAGATGGATGTGGTTGTATCAGAACTGCAAAGTCACAATGAGTTCTGCACTGTTACATTTCAGCTCTGTCAATGGTAAAACTGTAACATTAAAATTCCTAGAGAAGGGCTATACACAGATGGAGTTGGACAGTGCTCACAGCACATCTACTACCCAGCTGATTATGTCAGGCTAATGGAAGAAAGTAGGAAAGTGAAGCCATATGTAGTCAAGTATTTGACTCATTGTAACTTTTCTGATTTCATCAAACTAACCAACCAGAGTTTACACACCAGATGGTCAAATTAAATACAAACTGAGATTTGATGATGACTGGTCACATCTGCCTTTGAAGCGTGGCGAGTCCACAGATATTCTCCATAAAGACATGAAGGGACTGCCTCTGTACCAGGGTAGAAAGTTTAATTCGTCCATAGAGAACTTTAATAACACATGCAAGAAATGACGTCTGTTGTGCCATCTGACTACCACAAGTTCTATGACAATCTACAATTGAGTACGTCACCAGTGCGCAAGTCAAAACCCACGGTTCAGTTTAATTTGATATGCAGCGTATTGTGTTTTGGTTTATGTAGTTTATTTTTAGCTAACCAGAGCTTTAGCTTCATTGGGTAGAGCATTTTAAAGCCTCATAATGGTGCTTGGACAAGAGGATAATTCATTCCTGTTGACACTGGATGCTGCTATGGCATACCTCATCTTGATGACTTTCTATGTAAAATGTGTTATTTAATTAGGCCATACATTAGTTGGGGATGCATTATATGAGGTTTAGTTGAGCTTTAAAAAAAATCATATTACTTCTAGAGTCTTCCAACCAAGTTAAACCATGTTTTTAGAGTTAAAAGCATTTCAGTTTCTTCCACTGGAGAACTGTTGGGTCGCTTTTCAATCTTGCTCGACTTCGAGCCAAGACCAAAATCAACAAACCAAACAATAATATGAGACCTTTTCTTTGCCGGTGATGCTGCTGTTGTCGCTCATAATGAATCAACCCTACAAATAATCATGTGTTTAAGAAGATTGAGATGGCTGGGCCATGTCAAGAGAATGGACGACAACCGGATTCCGAAGCAATTTCTCTATGGACAACTTGCCCAGGGAAAGAGACCAAGGGGAAGGTCAAAACTGAGGTACAAAGACATCTGCAAAAACAGATTATCTAAGCTTGGAGTAGATGTCAGCATCTGTGAAGAAAAAACCGAGGACAGGAAAACATGGAGGAAAATGATAAATGAAAGAACTATTATGCTAGTGACTAGAGAGCAAGTACTCAGACAGAATCTGCACTTCAAACAGGAAAAATTAGCCATAAAAGAAGCTCCATGAAGACAATTCATATACGGAAATTCTTCTCTGCCCCCCCCCTCACCCCTCTCTCTCTCTCTCTTTCTTTCTCTCTCTCTCTCTGTCTCTCTCTTTCAGACCCCCCCCCCCCTCTCTCTCTCTCTCTCAGTCCCCCCCTTCTCTCTCTCAATCTCTCTCTCTCTCTCTCACTCTCTCTTTCTCCCCCTCTCTCTCTCTCTCTCTCTCTCTCTCTCTCTCTCTCTCTCTCTCTCTCTCTCTCTCTCTCTCTCTCTCTCTCTCTCTCTCTCTCTCTCTCTCTCTCTATTGTAGCTAGACAAGAAACCAATCCTTCTCACAATTTCCTTGAGAATGGAGGATCAAATAGTAGCTTTATAGTAAAAACTTAACGACGCACTTAATCTGTCGACAAGCCCATTGCCTAATTAGAATCATGTGGAAATAAAGTGCGATGTTCAGTTTTAGATATAATAAAACAGTATTATTGTTAGATCCTAGATCTACAGTACTATGTAGTACTAATTAGAACTTTTATAGTAGGTTTCCTATTGGATTGACTGCAGGTGTAATCATTTCGAGTTGTTCGGTAACACTAACGTGTCACGATGACTGAGTTAGACGTAACGAAGCGCGTGGCGTCCCCGCCGGGTTGGAGAATTCTAAACGAACAATTCGTTCGTCGACACTTGGAAGGTTAGAAATCCACAACTGAGCGGTCTATCCGTATAACTCTGGTTTAGCACTTAAAATAATAAAATTTCGGCAAATTTGTTTTAAATACTTTAAAGTAGAGTCATGTATTCCAGTCTAGCGCATTTGAAGATAGATCTAGTAAATCCCCATAGGAGCCTTTGAATTCAGTTTTTTGTCTCTACTGCAAAATTTACGAAATCAGAGTTGGACGGTTAGAATTCTCCGCCGACGATATTTACAATTCAGTAGGCCTATTTTTTGTAAATGGTCAGTCTAGCCATCATATTATTAAGAATAAGTACGGCGGCTAGCCTCTTCCATTTCTGATTTCAATACTGTCAAAGTCACCACTGAGTCGAGTAATTTACAGTTACAGTGATTATCACCATGTTATCACATAAAATACCGGAAGGTGTGAGGGCAGTGATTGCAAGTCAAAGGCTTCCCTGGAGGGGCCTAGATTTTAGGCTTGATTTATTGATAATGTAACAGATCCAGTAACAGTAGTGAATGTAGAGTCTTACACGACGCGCGAGTGCTGAATCAAAACAAACGAGCACGAAGTCTTGTGCAAAAAGTATATAAAAAGGGGGGCAGGCCAGGGCCAAAGCAATAACAAACGCAATGATGTAGGTCAGGCTGCAGCAAGACAGGGCCTGCAAAAGCAGATGCACTTAATTTTCGAGGTAAAATTAAATGATAGATTTCTTGGCTTACCTTGTTATTGTTTGATGAACATAAAAGCCTTGGCTTGGAAGTGTTTTTGCCCTTTCAACCTCAGAGTTATTCGACCTCGACCTTTCAATCCATTAGCACCAAGGTGAAGGTGAACCGGAGAACATAACCAGAGAGTATTTAATTGTCTCTGACATAACGAAAAAATATGCAGGGAGGTAGTTAGTGAACCTTGACCTGCGTACTTGATAATATCAAATATTCTCTTTTTATCATAAAATACCATCCTTTGTAGAAGCCAAAGACCGTTAAATTTACAATAATCCCTATTCTAAGCTCAAAATTATTTCTTTATTAATTAATAGGCCTAAGCATTCTTTCTCTGTTAATAAGTTACTCACAGATCTCAAAAGTAAAAGTAGCCCAGCCAGGCTTCCGGCTTTCACACTTCCACCCAGTTGACCCAGCCCATTAAATTGTGTAAACAAACAGCATTGATCAAGGCCTATCTACCACGATCTTTGATAAACAAGAACTCGTGATATTATATCTTTTAATGGCATCGCAGGAATGAAAACAGGCCGGTATAGATTTTCTGTAACGAGTGACCACCCAAACTCAAACACACCTCCCCGGCCCCGGGCAGTGCCACTGACTGACTGAAGTGTCTTTAGGCCATTCCCAAAGGGGGGACATATCTCGTCCAAGCATAGTAGAATTGTAAATGGGCTGATTCAAGTCACGCTCATAACTGTGCCTGATCTACAACAGGGAACTGCTGCTTTTTCTTTCCTGATCCTTACTATTGTCATTTTCCTCTACCTCTTACTTCTTTTTTTGTCACTCCTTGTGACCTGCTATTTTGGGGTGCCTTGATAGTTCGAAGCAGACCTTGTGCTGTTGAAGCTAGAGAGGTGAGCAGTCTAAGTCTGATTCCCTGTAAAGACTTCTCTGTTGACACCCACCCCTTGGCGCTCATATGACCTTATGCAGTTGCGAGAGCCGCAAAACCCTCTACTATTAAAAAAGGGCGTGTATACAGACCCGGTAACCGGGAACAAAGTCACAAAGTATACAGACCCGGTAGGGGAACTCTTTTGTGATTTTGGAAAGTTTCAGCGCCCTCTTGGCTCAGGGTAGACCACAGAGTAGAATTCTGTGGGGTAGACTTAGGGAAGTTTGAAGAATGCCGGACCACTCGTATACATTATTGCACGAGAATGTGGGGGGGGGGGGGGGAATTGTTGGGGTTGGGGAGGAGGGGGGGTTCAGGGGGGTCTCCCCCTTAACAAAATTTTAATGAATAGATCTACCGGTCTGCGATTCTCCATTGAGAGATAAAAACTGGGGAAAATCATGAATTCCTAAGTTTGAGACATAGGCAAAGTCAGTCCGCTGGTCCGGTATTCTTCAATCTTACCAAGACCTAGCTTCTTCTAGATCTATGGCCTAGGTCTAGATCTAGACAGACAGACATAAATCATTGATCTAGTTTTGAGGCTAGCCAAGATCTAGATCTAAAATCTTTATTTAGATCTAAAGGAAGATAGTGGATGTCTTTTTGATGAACGATCGTTTTTCCTCCGTTTCGGAGTTGGAGAATCGTTATTTGAAGAAAAGAACAATGACATAATTTCAATCGAGCGGTGACCCTCTCTATTTCTCTGCCTCTCTCTCTCTCCTCTGTGTATCACTCGCCTTCTCTTTTTCCTTGTTTGCCTCTGTCTTTTTCTCTCCCCCACCTATTTCCTATTTATTTGTTTTTTAAATCCATCAAAGTCACGACATCGCATGCTTTTTCAGTTATGTATACTTTGAGTAGATCTAGATCTATATATATCTAGATCTAGAAGTAGAATCTAGATCTAGACTCTAGATCTAGATTCTAGATGTAGAGGCGTAGAATCTTGTTAGAATCTCTAGCTTTTTTTTGTTGCTGATTTTGTGCAAGGAGGGTAAAATAAACAAAATATATTTATACGGTAACAACAAAGAACGAATGTCATGATAAAACAAACGTTGAGTTGCCACTGCACAGAGAATGAGTAACACTTTTGTAGCTAGTTCACATCTGTGTCCATTGAACTGTTGTTACTTTGTTACAGAAGGTTGTATACAAAACAGTGACCAGTCACCTCACATGACATGAGAAATGTCATGATGTATGAGTTGTGGGCGGGGCTTTTAGGTTACGTTGGATCACACCTTTCCCTCACCAGTATTTGAAAATCTATTTGTTACCCATTAAATTGGTGGACATTCACTGTGGAGGGGCTATAATTATAACAATAACAACCGGTGAATGGATGACGGCTCGCCAACAGCGTCCCTGTCAGTGGCCAATTCAAAATTTATGACAAAGTGTCAGGTGATGAGAGACTACGTCTGGCCGTCTCAGGCTGGTAAATTTGACTGTAGGTTGATAAAAATAAGGTGGCCGCGTTGGACAGATTTAACCGTTTTACATAGTTAAATTATAGAGAAAAAACGCAAGGGGGTGGGGGGGGTTGAAAAATGGCCATTTGTACAGGACAGGTACGTCATGGCAGGTTTTACTGTATTATAATATATACATGAGATCGAAATCAGAGAGATCATCTCAACATTGAAAAATTATAATGATATGGAAATGTGTTAGAAAAGGCATATATGCGAATCGCCCAAATTCCCCAAATTACTGGGAAAGGGAAAATGTACCATTATAGTCGGGATAATACTGTAGACAGAGTAGTCTCCATAAAAAATCCCTGTGCTTGGCAGCAAAAGAAAATGTGAGATCTAACGACGATCAAGATCTTAAGCCTACGCACCAAGGAAAGTATCCAGGGGACTCATGTTCAAGCCCACAATCAGTAAAAGGGTCTCCCCTCCACTCTGAAATGAACTGACATGCACCTGGATGGATACGACTTGACAAACTTGAAAGAGTAGTCAACCTTGATGACCAATCATAATGTCTTGAAGCATACCATTTTCACTTATATATATATATAAAATTATATTTTATCATGAGTATTCTGAAGGATATATGCTCTGAATCCTCAATTAAAACAGTATCATGACATATATGTGAGGCAGCGTGGTGGAATCAGGCTCTCGTCAAAATAATCAAAGTGAAGAGACTTGCTTTTTTCTGTAGGTTTGTGAATTTTTATCAAATTTTCGTTTTTTTGGCTCAACACCGTTCATGCCCATTAAAGAACTCATTTCTGTGTGGATTTTTCTTAAAAACGTTGATTAAAGGCACAAAAAATGTAAATTTTCAGTTACCACGTACTCTTAAGCTAAGGAAATAAATACTCTTTGGCAGTCATTTTCTCACTAATTTTACCTCTGAAAACAGGTGACCCCCACCTTCTTCATTCGCAAATATCTCAACTTTTATCCAAGATAAATGGATATTTTTTTCACCCAAATAAAGACAAGTGAACAAGCTTTAAGATGATACCAATAACTCTACATGCCCAAAAATTGACGAGAGCCTGATTCCACCACACTGCCTCACATATATATATGTCTCAGGTTGCTGACATCCTGTCCATCTAGACCAATTCTTTGTTTTATCTGAAATGTTTCTTAATATCATACTAAAGATCAAAGAGATCTAATGACAACAAATGTCAGATTCTAACTCCTCTTCTGATTGTACATTTTCTCTGTGTTCTCCACAAATCCTCGCTGTCGCTGTTTATTTCCAGTATAGGTAACTTAAAATTCTGAACTCTTTACCATTACCATAAATGTCTAATTGGTATAACATTTGAAAAAACCCTTCAAGCCTCATTGTATTAAATGCCTTTGGTGGATGATGGATTGATTGACGGGCACTCTGGTGTGGGTTGCTCCTTCTTTTCTATCGCACATATAATATATAATATAATACTTGTCTTTCCTCCATCTTTCCTATGTATGCTTCCCTCAAGTTACACCTCTTTCAGCACTTATATGACTTATATTTGTGTTGCAAATGCCTTAAAACTCTTAGTAAAACTAAACACCTTGGAATAATCAATGATACATAATATCTCTTACAGTTCCGGTACTTGCATTATTATTAGAGAAATTCTGACTGCCAAGACCTAGATCTAGTAGAAACCCTTCCTTCTGTGCTGAAAGATGTCTTCTCATGCAGTTGTTGACTTCATGACACGTGGTACTTTGGACTGAGACTAAATGGTTGAAAATGTCTGCTCAAGAGACTTTCCCTCTAATGCCTGAGTACCTGGCTGGATTTCCGGTTTGTGAGTATGAGCAATGGGTTACTTTAGGAGGGTTCTATGATTTTCACGCCCTGATTCCAGTGCAGCTGAGATCAAGTTGCCTGCCCAGGTTTCTAGGATTATATATATTGGAAAACTTGAAGCTCCTGCATGCAGTGCACAATACAAAACTCCCAGTCAATGGCAATTGGAAGCCAAAAAAGACCTGAGGGCAAAATCTCTTCCCAAAACTGAAGAAACACTCAAAGAATTGATAATAATTAATTAACTTCGTTTACATAGCACATTTCCAAAGAGAGTGTTCAGTGTGCTTTAGGGTGATACAGACAGGCATTACTCCCTTTTACAATCTGAATAATGCAATTAATGGTAACCTATGAGGATTATTTCATTTCAATTTTGGCATTTTGATGGAATATTAAGAGATACATACAATGTTTGCTCTGCCTACACTTCATCATAGCTCGTCTGAAGGTTATGCTATCATCATATCTTTCATCATGCTATACCAAAGATTTTGAATTCAAAATGTGAGAACTATTTGTAGGGGAAAAAATATGTGGAATACTAAGAGTTGGAGCAAAGATTGGGGGGAAAAAAAGAGTTTCTTTTTTACAATACGAAACATCTTTTTTCACAGCTGATGGCGATTGTTGCATTATGTTTCTGGTTACATTTTCTTTCGCCCTGTTATTAGGTATAGAGGCCTCCAAGAAGGTACTCCAGCTGTTTCTGTTTTGGGTGGTCTTCTCCACCTCTAGCAAGCTTTGTCCCATGGTTAAGTGATACAGCCCAGTCCATTCATGACAGCCTCTGTTATTACAGAAACTTGGATATATATAACTGTAATAAATCAAATCCACTTTTTTTTTCTCAATAAGTTTTAAGTAATATGAAACTGGCTATAACAGGATTGAATTTGCACAGACTCAGATATAACAGTGATCTTGCAGCGCATGAATTTTCTTTCAATCCATCAAATTATTCAAATTGGTCTCCACCAAGAACCAAGACATTTTGCCTGCTTGTTTGATTGCTTGCCTAAATACAAACTTTCAACC